CAGATGCAGTAAAATTTTGAAGTTAAATCAGTACTTTTAAAAAATTGGGCATAGCTTTCGCGCACCTGGCTACCCGCCAGGTCTGGGAGCAATACTGCCATAAACTTCAACCCCCATCCGCCAGACACAAGGACAACTGTCACAAGCGTGCAATGTCTGACCCTTTCCCCATGTTGAAGCATATTGAAAAAAACTTACCTTGTACTTACCTTTTGATGTAAAAAACAAAACTCCATTGCAAACATAAGACATTAATACAACATATATCCCCATGACATGGGGTTTTGGACGCTGAAGAAACATTCATAGTTTTCTCACTTATCACATGAACAACTGTAAAACATCTCATTCACTTACAGGCTAAAAGACAACTTTATCTTAAAAACAAGCCATCAGCTGACTCTGAGTATTTACAATTTCTGTGTGACGCCACACCCCATGTTATAGTGCAAGTATTCGTGACAGAACATGTATGATGTCCGAAAACCTATGCTGGTGAAAGCTCTGATCGAAAACAGGACAATCCGCGCCAACTGTCCAGTTTTCGATCATATTTTTCGGAGTGTTTTTTTTTTTTAAATTTATTAAATTTTTACGCGGAAGATGATTCTTTCCGAGGACAACTGTTTTAAAAAACGCGATTTTCCGCGTTTCCGCGGAGATTTCACATCCCTGTGTATTGCCAGCTTGTCTCACAATACAATACTGCATTGCCAGCTTGTCTCGCAATACAATACTGCATTGTCAGATTATCTCACAATACAATACTACATTGTCAGCTTGCCTCACAATACAATACTACATTGCCAGCTTGTCTCACAATACAATACTGCATTGCCAGATTATCTCACAATACAATACTGCATTGCCAGATTGTCTCACAATACAATACTGCATTGCCAGCTTGTCTCACAATACAATACTGCATTGTCAGCTTGTATCGCAATACAATACTACATTGTCAGATTGTCTCACAATACAATACTACATTGCCAGATTGTCTCACAGTACAATACTGCATTGCCAGCTTGTCTCACAATACAATACTGCATTGTCAGCTTGTCTCGCAATACAATACTACATTGTCAGATTGTCTCACAATACAATACTACATTGCCAGATTGTCTCACAATACAATACTACATTGTCAGCTTGTCTCGCAATACAATACTACATTGTCAGATTGTCTCACAATACAATACTGCATTGCCAGATTGTCTCACAGTACAATACTACATTGCCAGCTTGTCTCACAATACAATACTGCATTGCCAGATTGTCTCACAGTACAATACTGCATTGCCAGCTTGTCTCACAATACAATACTGCATTGCCAGATTGTCTCACAATACAATACTGCATTGCCAGCTTGTCTCACAATACAATACTGCATTGCCAGATTGTCTCACAATACAATACTGTATTCAGGGATGTGAGCAGGTTTTCCTGAAAAAAGAGGAAAAGTCTAGGGGGGTCTGGGGGCATGCCCCCCCAGAAATCTTTAAAACATTTGATTGCATTTTAAGCAATTTCGTGCAGTTTGGACAACATTCACACCAAGAAATGTAATAAGTCAATGGCCAAAGTCAATAAGTCAAATAAACAAGATGGCAGATGCAGTAAAATTTTGAAGTTAAATCAGTACTTTTAAAAAATTGGGCATAGCTTTCGCGCACCTGGCTACCCGCCAGGTCTGGGAGCAATACTGCCATAAACTTCAACCCCCATCCGCCAGACACAAGGACAACTGTCACAAGCGTGCAATGTCTGACCCTTTCCCCATGTTGAAGCATATTGAAAAAAACTTACCTTGTACTTACCTTTTGATGTAAAAAACAAAACTCCATTGCAAACATAAGACATTAATACAACATATATCCCCATGACATGGGGTTTTGGACGCTGAAGAAACATTCATAGTTTTCTCACTTATCACATGAACAACTGTAAAACATCTCATTCACTTACAGGCTAAAAGACAACTTTATCTTAAAAACAAGCCATCAGCTGACTCTGAGTATTTACAATTTCTGTGTGACGCCACACCCCATGTTATAGTGCAAGTATTCGTGACAGAACATGTATGATGTCCGAAAACCTATGCTGGTGAAAGCTCTGATCGAAAACAGGACAATCCGCGCCAACTGTCCGGTTTTCGATCATATTTTTCGGAGTGTTTTTTTTTTAAAATTTATTAAATTTTTACGCGGAAGATGATTCTTTCCGAGGACAACTGTTTTAAAAAACGCGATTTTCCGCGTTTCCGCGGAGATTTCACATCCCTGTGTATTGCCAGCTTGTCTCACAATACAATACTGCATTGCCAGCTTGTCTCGCAATACAATACTGCATTGTCAGATTATCTCACAATACAATACTACATTGTCAGCTTGCCTCACAATACAATACTGCATTGCCAGATTGTCTCACAATACAATACTGTATTGCCAGATTGTCTCACAATACAATACTGCATTGCCAGATTGTCTCACAATACAATACTGCATTGCCAGCTTGTCTCACAATACAATACTGCATTGCCAGATTGTCTCACAATACAATACTGCATTGCCAGATTGTCTCACAATACAATACTGTATTCAGGGATGTGAGCAGGTTTTCCTGAAAAAAGAGGAAAAGTCTAGGGGGGTCTAGGGGCATGCCCCCCCAGAAATCTTTAAAACATTTGATTGCATTTTAAGCAATTTCGTGCAGTTTGGACAACATTCACACCAAGAAATGTAATAAGTCAATGGCCAAAGTCAATAAGTCAAATAAACAAGATGGCAGATGCAGTAAAATTTTGAAGTTAAATCAGTACTTTTAAAAAATTGGGCATAGCTTTCGCGCACCTGGCTACCCGCCAGGTCTGGGAGCAATACTGCCATAAACTTCAACCCCCATCCGCCAGACACAAGGACAACTGTCACAAGCGTGCAATGTCTGACCCTTTCCCCATGTTGAAGCATATTGAAAAAAACTTACCTTGTACTTACCTTTTGATGTAAAAAACAAAACTCCATTGCAAACATAAGACATTAATACAACATATATCCCCATGACATGGGGTTTTGGACGCTGAAGAAACATTCATAGTTTTCTCACTTATCACATGAACAACTGTAAAACATCTCATTCACTTACAGGCTAAAAGACAACTTTATCTTAAAAACAAGCCATCAGCTGACTCTGAGTATTTACAATTTCTGTGTGACGCCACACCCCATGTTATAGTGCAAGTATTCGTGACAGAACATGTATGATGTCCGAAAACCTATGCTGGTGAAAGCTCTGATCGAAAACAGGACAATCCGCGCCAACTGTCCGGTTTTCGATCATATTTTTCGGAGTGTTTTTTTTTTAAAATTTATTAAATTTTTACGCGGAAGATGATTCTTTCCGAGGACAACTGTTTTAAAAAACGCGATTTTCCGCGTTTCCGCGGAGATTTCACATCCCTGTGTATTGCCAGCTTGTCTCACAATACAATACTGCATTGCCAGCTTGTCTCGCAATACAATACTGCATTGTCAGATTATCTCACAATACAATACTACATTGTCAGCTTGCCTCACAATACAATACTGCATTGCCAGATTGTCTCACAATACAATACTGTATTGCCAGATTGTCTCACAATACAATACTGCATTGCCAGATTGTCTCACAATACAATACTGCATTGCCAGCTTGTCTCACAATACAATACTGCATTGCCAGATTGTCTCACAATACAATACTGCATTGCCAGATTGTCTCACAATACAATACTGTATTCAGGGATGTGAGCAGGTTTTCCTGAAAAAAGAGGAAAAGTCTAGGGGGGTCTAGGGGCATGCCCCCCCAGAAATCTTTAAAACATTTGATTGCATTTTAAGCAATTTCGTGCAGTTTGGACAACATTCACACCAAGAAATGTAATAAGTCAATGGCCAAAGTCAATAAGTCAAATAAACAAGATGGCAGATGCAGTAAAATTTTGAAGTTAAATCAGTACTTTTAAAAAATTGGGCATAGCTTTCGCGCACCTGGCTACCCGCCAGGTCTGGGAGCAATACTGCCATAAACTTCAACCCCCATCCGCCAGACACAAGGACAACTGTCACAAGCGTGCAATGTCTGACCCTTTCCCCATGTTGAAGCATATTGAAAAAAACTTACCTTGTACTTACCTTTTGATGTAAAAAACAAAACTCCATTGCAAACATAAGACATTAATACAACATATATCCCCATGACATGGGGTTTTGGACGCTGAAGAAACATTCATAGTTTTCTCACTTATCACATGAACAACTGTAAAACATCTCATTCACTTACAGGCTAAAAGACAACTTTATCTTAAAAACAAGCCATCAGCTGACTCTGAGTATTTACAATTTCCGTGTGACGCCACACCCCATGTTATAGTGCAAGTATTCGTGACAGAACATGTATGATGTCCGAAAACCTATGCTGGTGAAAGCTCTGATCGAAAACAGGACAATACAATACTGCATTGCCGGATTGTCTCACAATACAATACTACATTGTCAGATTGTCTCACAATACAATACTACATTGTCAGCTTGCCTCACAATACAATACTGCATTGCCGGATTGTCTCACAATACAATACTACATTGTCAGATTGTCTCACAATACAATACTACATTGTCAGATTGTCTCACAATACAATACTGCATTGCCAGATTGTCTCACAATACAATACTGCATTGCTAGATTGAATATGCTATTTGCTTCTAAGTTACCAGCTGGGTTGCCTTGTTAAATTATCTGCATCCAGTCCACAGTGTTGAATTGTGATCCCTCCAGCATGCCAGAATCTTATTATCCGGTCCTCGAATCCCAGGCCAGATACTCATCTTTGTTTGGCAGCATCATACAAGTGCGATGTGATATAACTGAAATATTATTCAAAGGGGTGTATGGCCTAACTCACTCACTCACAAGTTCCTAACAGAGTATACATTTGTACTGTATGATACCGTTTGTTTCAGTGGATATCAAGCGTTACCCTGAGGACCGATTCCGCATTGCACGTGAAGTATGCACTACTGTCATGGATGTCTTGGATCAGATGGAGGCTGCAGACAAACAAAGGTCAGGGTCATCCTGGCATCCCAGGCAGCAAGTTAGGCATTAGATTATGAATACAGCCTTTTGCTCATAATATCAATCCCTGGATTGTCTGGTCCAGGCTTGATTTATTACAGGCTGTCATCAATTAGCTGGAATATTTCTAAGTGCTGCATTAAACTACAAACAAGTCTACAAAACCATGTTTATTCTGCATGATAATACTTACTGGTGCAGTGTAAATGCCAACTTTAGATATTTTAGTTAGTCATCGATGTAGTGAACAAGGCTTTATTACCAATTTTATTGTCACATATACAAATAATTAATATTCAATTAATAAACATTTGTTTTAGCTTTTTGGGGAAGGTTTTTCCAAATTGCCTCAATTTGGGTTTGGCATCTCTACAGTTAGAGTGACAACCTGACATACTCAGTGGGCATTACAGGAAGTTTCCAAGCATTTTCACCAACCAATTAACAATTCAGTTAATTCAGAATTATAGGTTTCCTTAATTTAGGTTTATATTATGATTTTTAATTATCCTTAGGCTATATATGTTTTATTTTGCAAAGAAAATTGTATTCCAATATTTAAGCACAGTTTCACACTGTTTCACAGATTGCGAGCTAAAGTCTCTTTAAAAATAAATACTTATTTCAGAAAAAATATTTGTCTTTTTTAATTTTACATGTCACATTCACTTAGCGGAAAATCCTAGATAAATCCCTGCTAGTGCCGACATAGAAAATAAAACCTGATCCCCCTGGGTGACAAGCAAACACATTAACCACTGTGCTACTTCACTGTCCCTTCGTGTCAGTTGTGAACGGCAAGCAATGTTTCGTGACCCAGCATACAGTATCACCACAGTCTGTGATTCATATTCAGGAGTATTTATTGATGTATGTTTCAGGTTGCTACAGTTCCTGTGTTTGAGTCGGTACACCGCGGTGTTTGAGATACTGGCGCCACACCATCAGCATGTAGAAGACCTCTCCAGTTTGCCCGGGTGAGCTGCTTTAGAGGATCTCAACACAGTTATGTCCTGTGACCCGTTTCACACAGCAATCGTTGTGCTAAGATGATCTTAACTCCCATTCTTTAACATAGGTTTACGATAGTCGTAGCGCTAAAATCGCTTTATGGCATGGGCCCCTGGAAGCCACCTTTTTTAAACAGATTTTTTTGTTATTTATTTGTTGTTTAACACCACGCTCAGCAATATTCTATTCTGAAATCATGAGCATTGATCTACAAAAGTCCTATAAAAGTCCAATTTCCAACTTTGCCGAACTAGGCTGGAATTATGGAGTTATATTTTGGCTGCACTAACGAGTCTACGAGTCCAATCAAAATCGTGTCACAAACCAGATATCCAGTCGTAAAGAACATGGATTCAATATGCAGATTTGCAAAGCATGTGCACCATCAACTGGGTGTCGACAGAAATTTTCGAAATCTGTTCATGTTTCTAATCAAGGTTTGCACTTCGTGAGGTAAGATCCGTTTTATTGCAATATAGATATTAATTATCGATCAAATCGTCTTGACTCGGCGTACCCGTTTTGTTTGAAGCAAATACAAGTGATATGAGAGATGGAATCTGATTGGTCAGTGGATGGACATAGAAGGGACATTACTCGTAATCGCCACTGGTGGTGCTACAATAGAGCCACTAAATTCCAGCGCAGGAACGCCCTTGCCTAGGGAAGATGGGGGAGGGAGTGAGAAAAACCAAATGTACAGTTAATAGAAATAATCCTCTACTCTTTCCTTTATCAGTGTACATGTATACTAATAAAACTGAATTATGGGAATAAGTATAACAAAACCTTACCTTCACCAATGAAATAAGACAACAACAGAAATGAGATGTACATCAGGGGGTGTTGGTCGAAGGGAGATAATTCTACCAGTATGTGGCATGTGAATATGATTGTGTCTAATGCTAATTTTGTATGTAAATATCATTTTACCTATAAACCTAAACAAGACATATTTATCTTGTGTTTTCATCTATCAGGCCCCAGCTACAATTTATCACATGGACCAGCACAGACCTCGAGCCACCCTCCGACACCCAGCTGTCAACACTTCCACCACACGTTGGTATTGAGGTCAGTGTCACTCATTGCTAGTAGCATTACAATGCCCTCTCCACAGGGGTTAGAATCCCTCTTCACCCAGATATGTTTCTGGGTTTGTCAGCACCATACCTGGCTGGTGGGTTTCACAAAAGTGCATCACTCCGGGCTTTCCTCCGACATTAAGCTGACACATCATGATGTAACTGGAATACTGTTAGAAGCAACGTTAATTCAAGCTCACTTGCTCACTCCACAGGGATTTGGGGAATTTAACATCAGAAGCCAAAGGATTGGAATTATAGCTATTCTAGACTTAAAATTACCCTGTGATAGTCTGGGGGCATATATGGAATTTGGTATGTAAAGTTATGTCCCTTAGCCATGATAACATCCACTGGTCAAGGGTTTGAATTCAAGATTCACCCTGATAAGGGTCTTTTGGGTGCTTGTGGTTTCACCAGAGTGTTACATGACCTGGCTAACGTCCTTGGTAAGGTCCTGGGTAATGACCTGGGTAATGCCCCGGATAATGCCCCGGGTTATGCCCCGGGTAATGCCCTTGGTAATGCCCTGGGTAATGACCTGGGCAATGCCCCAGGTAATGACCTGGGTAATGCCCTGGATAATGCCCCGGGTTATGCCCCGGGTAATGCCCTGGGTAATGCCCTGGGTAACGACCTGGGCGATGACCCGGGTAATGACCTAAGTAATGTCCTGGGTAACGACCTGGGTAAAGTCCTGGGTAACATCCTGGGTAACGCCCTGGGTGGTCACCTGGATAATGCCCTGGGTAATGCTCCGGGTAATGCCCTGGATAATGCCCTGGGTAATGCCCTGGATAATGACCTGGGTAATGCCCTGGGTAATGACCTAGGTAACGTCCTGGGTAATGCCCTGGGTAATGCCCCAGCTAGACTAACATTTAGTCTCCGAAATCTTATATTACACAATATCCTTCTTGACTCTAAAAATAAAAATAAAATTCCCTATGCTGATTTCAGAGGGTTCTGGTCAAATGACTTCAGTAGCTCAACTCGTCGACATAAGTTGGTTCTGACATACTGTTTCATTTCATCTGAAATATTCTGCCTGCCACTGAGACACTGTCTAAATTTCATGAGAAGAGCATGTGCCTGCTTTTCTGGATCCCTGCCTGCTCGTCCTGTCTCTTGAATATAATCCTCAACATTGTTGGCTGGACCATAGTGGATGACGGTTTCCACACCTTGTAAGTCAAGTCCCATGCTGAATGATGTTGAGCAAAGGACTATCCTCTTGAAACCATTTGGATCCATGAAGGACTGGGACACATATTTCTTCACTTCCCTGTTTGTCTTGCTGTGGAACATGTCAAATAGACGATTCTTATGACTGTTAACTCCGTCTTCACTATTGTTTATGAACGCATCATGTTTTAGCTCAGATTTGAGAAAGTCAAAGAGATCCCCTATTTGCTTGATTTTGCGGAAAAATATCAGCATCCTTGGTGTTTGTCGATTCCGCTCCCGCAACAGGGTAACTAACCATGAAAAATCCTGGCGAATGTTGCCACTGGTTGATATCTGCCAGTACTTGATGTTTTCTTTGTTGGGACTGAGGAGTATTTTTTCACAGCCGGACATACACATTTCATTAATTATCACATCTCGGGTTGACTTGGTTGCAGTTGCTGTTAGTGCAATCACTGGTATGCCTGGAGCTAGTGCCCTGAGTTCGCCAAGTATTCCATACGCTGGTCGAAAGGCCTTTTTATTTCTATTATTCTTTTCACCCTTGTTACACTTGCCGCTGAAAAATACACAGTTAAAGTGAAACTCTATTCAAGACGAGCATTATGAATGTCTTAAGCTGTTAAGGTTTGATTGTCATTCCTTATTCATACATATTTTGTATGTTGTTATGCATGATTGATGTTGAACTTCAATTCAATAATCAGCAGCTTGAAAATTGGCCGATTTCTTTTATGAAATTCAACTCCTTAAAAGAAAAAGATCAACATATCTATTGCAAAAACAACTGTTGGTTATTCAAGATCAACTTTAGTGTTTTAACTTAGCTAATGTTAGCAGTGGATGTATGCATTCCTTTTTCATAATGGCATTAACATACATTATAAAATGCCTCTACCTGGGACTGCAGCCAAACTTACAAATTTAATCCTTGTTTCAGAGCAACAATGTGTCAAGTTCATGATGATTGTAGAAGTGAGTGAGTGAGTTTGGTTTAACGCCGCTTTTAACAGTATTCCAGTTATATCGCGGCGTGTCAGCTTAATGTGGGAGGAAAGCCCGAAGTGATGCAGGTCACAGACGTTTACCACTTCGGTGAAACCCACGGGCACGGGTATGGTGCTGACAAACCTAGAAACATAATCGGGGCGAACCGGGATTCGAACCCGCAATCATAGATTTCTGGCGTGCCCAAGGGACGCAGCTCTGCACAGCGAATCAAGGCGCCTTAGACGACTGGGCCACCCGTGCCCCCGATTGTAGAAGTGATTGTATGTGACAAATGTACATTTTGAAATGTTAATACTTGTGCTTTAACTTTGATTTGTTGAGTATCAAATTAGATATTTAGTGATCGTGACACACTGTAGTTAGCAATATTGCAGCTATATCAAGGCAGCCTGTAAACCAGTAATTGATATGCACACCATCCTAGTCATTAAAACATTCACTCGCCATGCCTAAGACCCGGGTTCGATGCCTGATATGAGTACTATGTGTGAAGCCCATTTCTGGTGTCCCCGTCGTGATATTGATGGGATATTGCCAAAAGATGCGTTAAACCATACTCTCTCATTCAACATGCCATGCCTTGACAGACAAAACGAAATGCAAAATATAACATTTATACTTACAATTTTGCAATGCAGTGTGCTTCATCAATGAAAATTGCCTTCAAAATCTTCTCTTTAGTCAGGTCTTGAATGACATCACGCTGTGTTCCAAGAACTGTCTCTGGACTTGCAAATATTATGTCAATGTCACCAGACTGAATGTCCTGAATTGATATTTGGTCCATTACATGTACAAGATCATCATCATCATCAGGAGTAGGGTCATGTTGACCCTTCAAATAAACAGATTTCAATCCAATAGATGAACACTTCTCTGTTTGTTTTGTCATTAGTGCCACCAAGGGTGAAATAACAATCACAGTAGCATGTTTGGAGTTATTAAGTTTCTTAAACACGAATGGTGCTATTTCAAAAGTAAGTGATTTTCCTGTTCCTGTTGGAGAACAAAAAAAGACATCCTTTCCTCTGAGGTAACTTGCAATCACTTGTCTTTGATGATTCCTGAAGTGATCAATATGTAACTGTTGCTTTCCAAATGATACAGCTTCGTCAATAGCATTACCTTCCATACCAACAGTTATACTTGTAGTTAAATAGAGGGTATGCAGCAAACGCTTACAGAAAGCAGCCCACACTTAAAACACAACATCAGTCCTTTGTTCAGTTCCGCAGTGTGTCAGATTCATGATGACCACATGTGTGGAGATCAGCCATCCCAGGTCACACTGGTAATCTCCCCCCCCCCCATTTACGCCTCTCCCCACTGCCCCAGATGTATTTTGTTACAGTAAACCTAGATGGGAGCACTACCAGTGCTAGGCTGTCATCTGAACAAGATTCTCTGATATGATAAGAAAGGGACTTAATTACCGTTCGCTATTTCGACCAGTCCTCTCCCCAAAATGACATGACTGTGGAATAGAGCTAGCTTGAGCTGGCTAGACTTGCTTTTGTATGCATTTCTAGATTATGTTTTTTTCATAAAATAAATATATTCCACGGTCATGGTGCAGGACTATGCCCCAGCTAATGCCCTGGGTATTGACCTGGGTAATGACCTGGATAATGCCCCGGGTAATGCCCTGGGTAATGCCCTGGATAATGACCTGGGTAATGACCCGGGTAATGACCTGGTAACATCCTGGGTTATATCCTGGGTAATGACCTGGGAAACATCCTGGGTAATTACCTGGGTAACATCCTGGGTAATGACCTGGGTTATATCCTGGGTAATGACCTGGGTAACATCCTGGGTAATGACCTGGGTAATGACCTGGGTAACATCCTGGGTAGTGACCTGGGTAATGACCTGAGTAACCCCCTGGGTAATGACCTGGGTTATATCCTGGGTAATGACCTGGGTTATGACCTGGGTAACATCCTGGGTAATGACCTGGGTTATATCCTTGGTAATGACCTTGGTATCGTCCTGGGTAATGACCTGGTAACAACCTGGGTAATGACCTAAGTAATGACCTGGGTTATATCCTGGGTAATGACCTTGGTAACGTCCTGGGTAATGACCTGGTAACAACCTGGGTAACATCCTGGGTAATGACCTAAGTAATGACCTGGGTAATGTCCTGGGTAATGACCTTAGTAACGTCCTGGGTAACATCCTGGGTAACGCCCTGGGTGGTGCCCTGGGTGGTGACCTGGGTAACGCCCTGAGTAATGACCTGGGTAATGACCTGGGTAACGCCCTGGTAATGTCCTGGGTAATGACCTGGGTACTGACCTGGGTAACGTCCTGGGTAATGACCTGGGAAACATCCTGGGTAATTACCTGGGTAACATCCTGGGTAATGACCTGGGTTATATCCTGGGTAATGACCTGGGTAACATCCTGGGTAATGACCTGGGTAATGACCTGGGTAACATCCTGGGTAGTGACCTGGGTAATGACCTGAGTAACCCCCTGGGTAATGACCTGGGTTATATCCTGGGTAATGACCTGGGTTATGACCTGGGTAACATCCTGGGTAATGACCTGGGTTATATCCTTGGTAATGACCTTGGTATCGTCCTGGGTAATGACCTGGTTACAACCTGGGTAACATCCTGGGTAATGACCTAAGTAATGACCTGGGTAATGTCCTGGGTAATGACCTTAGTAACGTCCTGGGTAACATCCTGGGTAACGCCCTGGGTGGTGCCCTGGGTGGTGACCTGGGTAACGCCCTGAGTAATGACCTGGGTAATGACCTGGGTAACGCCCTGGTAATGTCCTGGGTAATGACCTGGGTACTGACCTGGGTACTGACCTGGGTAACGTCCTGGGTAATGACCTGGGTAACGTCATGGGTAACGACCTGGGTTAACAACCTTGGTAACTTTGGGCTTTCACAGTCATGTTTTGTTCATCTCAATACAATGACAATGTTCAGTGGGTAATTGTACCACCCTGTAATGTTAGTGCTATGGAGTTCAACTAGGTAAGTTAATACTGACTTATCATAGTCGTAGCGAGGAATCGTATGACTGTATCATTGCATTGATTATTTCCTTGAAATATGACATGATGGATGAGATGAGACATTTGAGACGTGTATAAATAATAAAACAGACATAAAATATGATTATATTAATCAGAACTTCATATCCCTGTGCCAGAACATGTTCCAGGAGTATGATATAGTCTTGATTTTCACAGATTGCCCGTGCTTTAGGACTACAAACTGTTGAATATGAAGTCATATCCCCTGGAGAGGTAGAGAAAAGAATGATTGAGGTAAGAAGATACATATATATGTTGCTGTTCCATCTTGAAAGCAAATGCACGATGTCGGAAGGTAAGCCTGTGTCATATTAAACCTGAAGGGACAGTGCGTTAGGACATTATTGCACAAAACAATGTTATGCAAAAACAATACTTTTTATTTGACACTAAATTATGTCTGAATGTAAACTTGGTTTTCAACAGAAAGGGACTTGGTGATAGTGTAGCATATTAATTAGTGGCCAAAGGGAGATAAGCTCACCTGTTACTGTGCTTTTGATAATTATATGCAGCCGAGAAATGAACCGTACTGGGTTTATATGATAGGAACATACATTATTTTGCATAAGTGAAACACTACGGCATGAAATTTTTTTATGTCTTCTAAGGGAACAGAACAAAATTTATACCCTCAGATGGTATACTTTTCAAATTTATAAATGGAATTGAACAACTTTAATGGGACTCTGATCTGCACCATGCACAGTATATATTGATGAATATCAATGGAATGGGTTGCTACTAGTGTATGTATACTTTTACCTTATTGTGAAAGTGAGGATTCCAGGTTAGAATCGGTCTCCAGCAACCAATGCTGGTCATAAGAGGCGACTTAATGGATCGGGTGGTCAGACTCAGTGACTTGGTTGATGGCATGTCATCGTACCCCAACGATGTGAATCGCTCACAATATCAATCAGTGGATTGTCTGGTCCAGACTTGATTATTTAGAGGCCACAGTCATAAAGCCAGATGTATATATTCCTCGAATATTGTTAAACATCAAAACAACCACTATAACATTGTGAAATTTGTGCTAATATTATGTATATTTCATGGGATTTCATGAAAGGAACTAGCCAACATTTCCACATTTCTGTCAGATCCGCCAGGGCTACAACTACGAAGGGGAAGTCTTGTATTTCCTCAACTCATCTAACTGTGTCATCGGGCTGCTGAAAAAGAAAACTATATGGTATGTTTGCCTTGAAGCTTCAGAGTGGAAAGTTACAGACATATAAGAGTTTAACAGGAAATACTCACTGTGTGTGTGTAGCCCTGTTCTGGTCGTTAAAGAATCTAGCTATCTGATTGGCTGGTCAGGCGTTGTCTTATAAAATGAACTGGTAAGTCGGCTGACTTGTTTAAAGAATCTAGCTGATTGTCCAGTCGCCGTCTGTTGAAAAAATGGCTGCCCAACCTGCACGGATATCTTGACTTAATTATGTCAGATGTGGCATCTCTTGCTGGTTACATCACAATCGTTCCTGTTCACACTTTGACTTAGCCATACTGAGAGTCCAGCAGCGGTCACAGGAGGATCTAATTGTCAAAAACAACAAACGTATCTAATTCTTAAATAAGTTGTTTTGTCTCACCTCACATTAAAATATTAGCATCTGATTTGTTAAGGAGCAGGTAATTATTCTTACTGTAACCTGCTTGTGTAGCCTGCTCATGTACCCAGCTGAGAAATCAATTGTAACACATCTTAGGTAACATGCTTATCTCACATAAGCATCGTTGAGCTGAAATGAACCGGGTTTGTTTGCGTCCTCTGCTAGCTGTCAAAATGGCTGAAACAAATGGTGAATGTTCTGTGTACATCCATTCTTCTACTAATGACACATGGCAAAGATTATGTAATAACATAATAATCCACAGTTCTTATCAGTGAAGCACTTACCATATGGATTCTTACTCCAGGTATATCATCTGCAGAGCTACTCGTGAGAAGGTCCGAGTCTCATGTCAGTTGGCGAAGAAAAACCCAGGCACCTTCCAGATATCTCGATCTATACAGAAGGTAGGACAGTGATGTACTTAGACAGGTTTTGTGTGGAACTTTGTGTAGCAGGGCCATGAAATTGGACTTTGTCATAATTCGACCTCTGGAGAATTTGATTTGTTGAGTCCACCACGTTGTGAAACAAGTAGAAGTTTGTACCACAAATTGATGGTCGAATTTGTTGCTAGAGTGTTGCTAGACTTATACAAATTCCTTGTTGTTAAACTTTAACATTCGTGACCAAACATGATATTAGGGACCTTATGGGTGAAAAATCACATTTTGTCTTCTCATTATATTTTAAAACTAACATGTATGTCTTTCATTATATGAGGATGATCATGTATTTTATTTTCATTAAATTTTCTAAAGTTGTGTCTGTTTGGTGGCTGGTTGTTGAAGAGGTTGTGAACATTGTCTGTTTGTTGCCAGCTGGAGAAGAGAATGAAGGAGATACAGATGTGGCTCGGGATGGACGATGACAGCGTGGAGAAGTGGAGGGTAATGATGATGATGATGACGATGATGTAACTTGAAAATGAATATAATTGGGGACTCTAAGACTACTAGTACACCAGGATAAGTAGAGTTGGGACCTGACAATTAACACTGTATGACTATGTATGAGGTCCGCCCACTGGCGCGTACCATTTTGAAGAAAGGGGTAGCAGGTCGTCTGTGACAAGTAGTACGATGGATCAGCTAACAACAAGTTCTAATGGCCAGTACAACCTCTGAATAGTCTTACATGCAACATGTGTGTCCTCGGGAGCAGAGTCAATTTGATCGTCATGACCTGCATGTGCACAACCTGCGTACACCCTCTCTACCTGTAACAAACTAAATATGTTTGCCCAAATTCTGTGCATCTCCTACTTGTGTCAAACACATTTTGTGATATGGTTTAAGTTATCCTGGCTTACCAGTAGCAAAAGATATAGTCATGGAATTATATTGTTGTGGACGAGTTATGCAGCCTGTTGTTTCTGAGCACCATGGCATCTTCACCCAAGGTTGAAGAAATTGTGGTATTCTGTGTGGGTTTTCATTTGTAAAAATCAGAATTTCCGATTCAAGGTCGTGAAGAAAGGAACCCAAATCAGTTCAGAAAGCTGACTTCTGATTGGTTCATGAAATAATGTATCTTTCATTTAGATTGGGCAGCCAAAACTTGTGACCTTCTATAGAGGTGTCTTAGGGTCTTGAAGCAGAGAGTCATCATATCAGAGTAAAACATCTGAGTTTAATGAGCTTGGTGTATATCATTGAAAAGTTGATGGAACTTCAGTCATATCTAGCAGTTTCTTTGTACTCATAGCATTGCAAATAAACCTCATGTTTGTAACTTTATTCTATGCAGGAACTCGGTGTGAGGTTCTTACGGTGGAGCATCCATGAATTGGAGGCAGGCCACATCTGTGTGAATGACATCTCCGACAAGTTTCCAGTTCTATGGTGAGAAGTGATGCGATAATGTTACTCAACATCGTACATAGAAACAGTGTTTAAAATACATGCCTCCCTGACAATTTGAGATGGGCTGTTTTTGTTGCTGATGGTGAACTTTTATAACATGCTAGTCCAAATTCCTTTTTATAGATTTAGTAAATAAATAAAAAAACTTAAATTGGGAGAGGCATTTACAAAAGGACTCAATATGTATGTCACAATTCTCATCTGTAGTTATCTGTAGTTATTTTTCAGTCCAGTGTAAATGAAATCTGGACTGGCATCATTTTAACCTGATTTCAATTTATTAGACTTGCCAGCCCAGCTGTCAGGCTGGAATTTATCTGAATCTCAAACTCTGATGGAATTCATGTGTCATACTATTTATTCTTTTGGACATTTTAAAGATTTGTCATCCTCCCATCACTATTTCTCTCTTTATTTTACCTCCTTATAAAGAGCAGCATGCCTGTGTTGCAATGCAGTGAAAGCAAACAAACATGATCTATGTGGCTATGGTAATACTAACATAATCTGAAATTATATTTTTTGTGGTTTTTTTTCTTCTACATTTACATTTATAATCTTCCTATTTTATTCCAGGAAACAACATTTATCGGCAAGCGATTTGACAGACAAGATTTTAACAAAATGGCGGGAACCAGGGGGATCCGATGACTAAATAGCACCTGTCATTCCAAAGAATTTCATCATTTCTATCTTTCCACAAAAAACACGTACAGAATCATATCGCTTCCTATTAAATTGAATATTTAAAACACAATCATATCACCTTTCATAATTATGATAGTTTTACATCCTAATTTTAACATTGTTATATATATATTTCAAGAATCGTTAAAAACATCAATGTTCATTATATAAATGATGAAATTCTTTGCAAATTGTATTAGTGAAAAAAGGCAGCATGTAGAACCTGATTCAACATAATTATTTTTAAAAACTACCAGTAAGTAAATTCTTTTGAATATTTCTTGTGTAATGTTTTGATTATCAGTTTTGAAATAGAATGATTATTAGCATGACATTCATATCCACAGACTTCTTTGTGTTCAATTCACATGTCTGTGATTTCTTGGTTTTCTTTACTTAAATGCACTGACCATACTAACCCAACACAAACAAAATATCTATTGACTTATGAAACCATGGTCAAGGGGAGACAACTCAGTTCACTACTGTCTATTGGTCAGTGTGTTATGGATGATGCAACATTGATTAGTAGCCATATATTGAAGAATATGTTGTGAATTATCTAAATTTTGATCTGAATCAGATTTGATAAAATGTATTATGCAAGTAAAATCTGATAGTATTTTTTCTATGTTGTAATGCACGAACATAATGTATATATTTTTAAATGAAATACAAGTACACTGTATACAAACTCTTAAACCACGTCAAGTTAATTTATTAATATCACTTATTAATACAGATTTTTATTTGTAGGATATTCATTTAGATTTTAAGTCTATTTCTATATATGCTTCTTGGTATTACTTTCCAAAGTCTCTTGATGGGAACTGGATTCATCAGGCTTGGTTCATCTCTTTCCTTGACTCGATAGTGTCAGTAAGTGCCTCTCGTAGATGAACCCTCCTATACAGTATCTGTGTTAAAGGGGCTCTTGGTTCAAATATCACACTATCATGTGTTTTCAAATATCACCTGTTCAAAAGGTTCTCTATACCTGTTGATTAATAAACTAGGAAATATTTCATTAACCAACAGACCAGAATGAGAGAGTAGTCAGTCTAAAACTAGTTGAAAAAATATCCATGTTTTTGTTGAATATTTTCAAAACTGATTGTAGCAAATGAGGATTTGATCTGTTATTTATCTTTAAAAGTAAACTTGATCCTAATATACCATATGACCTCTTTTGGGCAACTGCGAGCAGCTCTTAAAAACAAACTTCAAAATCACATTTGTGTGAATATTCATAAGATTTATTCGAAATTCAAAATAAGATGAGATGAAATGAAATGAAACGAAATGATAAGCTTCAAAATTTATCTAGAGCCTAACTCAGGATGAGTTGTTTGAAAACCTGCCATAGGGATTCAAAACAGATTCATTCCTTACCTCTCCATACTTGAGCTACCCAACATATGTTGATGCCCTAGAGCCCCTACACAATGTCCCATGATACCCACATCATGCAGTTGAATGTCTAGTTGTTTATATACATACCTTGTACGGAGATAGTTCTTGTTTTAACTGTTTTAGTGCCTTTTATACAAAGTCTCATTTTTTTATCTATAATATAAATGTTTTAGAGTAGTTCTTCTGTCATGTAACTCGGACATCTGTTCTGTGAAACAAGCATAACCTGTTTAGGACCAATAATGTTAATACTATATCCTTGGATAGCATTATCAGTTGTATGTTAAACCTGGTATATTTCTAACAAGGCAAAACATGTGATGTTACAGTGGCCTAGTCATTTACCATAAGTAAGTTCATAAAACATCCTCCTCCATATGTTTCTGTAATGCAAGCAAAAAGAATATTTTACTTCAAAAATGAAATTTCACTAATTTCTTTGCATGTATGTGGATACTCTATTTCAGCCATCTTTTACCATTTGCTTTTATCTTAACCTTTATCCACTTGCAAGAAATGCAACAAATGTCTTGGATACACATTTAGGTGTCAATGTTCACAAAGAATGAAAGAAATGGTGAAAAGGACTACATATGTTAAATCCACACACAAACCTATATGATCTAGATAGGAAACACTACAGATAGGTTATATAGGTCCGTCATCCAGATAATGTTGCAAATTTTCATAAAATTTTTAAAGTAATTAAACTTATTATTGCTAAAATTAATTATTATAGAATCGTATGGAGAATGACATGTTTCTAATTTACATATTGAAAATAATTATTAGTCACTCCCAGGCCAGAAAGTGATGTTTGTTCCTTGTTTTTCACAGTTAAAATTAAGGTTTAAATGTGCATTGTGGCAATTCCAGTGACACGTGTTTAGAGTTATCTGCCATTGTGTACAAAATCCACAAGCTCCTTCCCAGCGTGGCACCATCTTCACTCTCTTGGTATCATTGCTGCCACCAGTGTCCAAGAGGCCATTACAAGAATCTTGAAAAGTCTCCATCAAACCCCAAATGTAGTGACATGTATATTTTGTAAGTATGTCAGTTGGAATGGCATTGTAGTGAATTGGGATTCACTTACGATTTCCCGGATGAATTTACCTTTGTTTATTCAGATTGGTTTGAGATTGCAGAACTGAAAAACAATTTGCATCTTACATTCTCACTAAATAAACAGTAAGAGTTGAAATGAAATAGAAATTCAAATTGACAAACAAACTAAATGTTTTAGCTGGGGGAAGTGTATTCGATGTCACAACATTCATCTTTTGTTAACATATTGGTTAGTTTGTTGTGAGTTTAACTCCATGCATGGTTGTTGAGCTGAGAGCTCCGTGAGGAGCTTGCAAAATCCAGTACTGAAGACCAAACTGATCACTGGGGGAGGTGGAAAAAAAAGACATGGAAAAAACAAGAAACAAATGACCTTTTATTTTGGCCATACCACAAAATTGTGATTGAGTATCTTTGTACCAGTATTTAGTTAGAGCACCAGTGCTCTATTTAAATGTCCAGTAGCGTCCATGAATATATTTTTAGAATTGCTGTAGACCTTTCATGTGCCTTGCTCAAGCAGTGTTTTGCATTAATATGTAGAAATCTTAGCTCACCTGAACTGCTCACAAAATTTCATAAAAACATTACAATTTACGTTTGATAAGTAAAATCTTCCATGGATAAACCTGTTGATTAAACCTCAAAGGTTTTGTCAGTATAGCACTGAGAAGAGAATGAACGTTTATGTATTTATATATGTTGTACAAATATTTACATTCAAATGTTCAGGTGAGCTGCCATGTTGGCAGGTGCTTTTTACAAGGTTGCTTTCCCTAAGTTTGGCCAGTGTTGCAAGTGTTGTTAATGTGCGATGTAGAACAACTACACTTATATATATATTACATTCCTGAACACTGGGGTACTAACCATATTATCTTTGGGGCAGGGCTGGGTGTATCAGATTGTAAGTATTAGCAACACAATCATGTACCTGTTGTGCAAACTGTTTCTATGTCATAGCAGCATGATGGCATTTGCCTCTGCTTATTTTCACCTTTGCATGGCTGTATGTGTACTCAATAACTTGCTGTTTACTACAGTTTCTGCAAAGACTCTGATATAGGTATTTGATAAAACACTAATGTCAGTCACAGACTCTTGCACAGTATCCTCTGGTAAAGGTCGTCACAAGGCAATAGCTTCAGTATTGGATCACTGGAAGGGGCTTATCACAGACCAAAACCTGGGCCATTTGCACAAAGCTGTTTTAGCACTACGATGATTGTAACTCACATACTCTAATGTAGACTTAAGATTACCATTGCGCTGTTAAAGATCGCTTTCTGCAACCCCCCAGGAGCTTATGATGGATGATGTTGATGAAGTGCACCGTGTCCATGGGTGTACCAATACAGTTCACGTTCGACCATTACACACCGTTGTTGTCCCTTAAGATCCAATTTATACTGGGGACCCCGTCATCTAAGGTGCTGCAACTTGCGCTGCAGACTTGTGTCCCTTGGCACTACCAGGATCTGCTGATAATTTCTTTCAATACCATACCCCAAGTATATGTCAGCATCATCTCTGAGGGTTTCACCAAAGTGCACAGCCTCTGACTGCCACCACTTGTAGCTTTCCTCACATATTCAGGAAACTTGTGGACTAATTTTCAAATTTAACTTAAATAAAACAAATGCTGAAATATATTAACAATTGCTTTACTCATTTTACATGCTTCTGTCAACAAATGTAGTGTGTTAATGTAAGATATGTTCAACAGATCTTTTTTCAAAAGTAAGTTTCATTTGCCTGTACCTAAGCTTTTATTGTTGAATGTTGAAATGTGTTGAAATAGATTTTAATGTTCTTGCAGTGCCAGTAGTTCCATGGTCAGACTTAATCATGTGTTTATGACATATTCTCGTGAATATCTCCTGCATTAAAAACATGATAATGGCAACATGTACTATGCACGACAAAGTGGCATGACGTCAGATTTGTTTCTCAATAATCAAGCATTTAAGATATTGATGTTTTAAGCAAACTTTTATTATGAAAACATGTCATCAAAATACCATATTCACTGGATACCAATCTTTTGTATAATATTTGTTATGTTGTAATGGGACCAAACTAACTTATAAATAAGGTAGAAAAAGACGAAGTTGATATATATTTTAGTACTCACAATGCTAAGTCAACTGCACCATTTCACAAGTTTCATGTGTTTCCTATGAGTTGTTTCCTCTAATACTGACAACTCCTGCCACACCTTCAACTCATGTCATGCCACTTATTACTGTAGTGTCACAGCTATAGACCAATCTTCTTGAACTGTTTGAGGTGAGGTGAGGTGAAATGGGGTTTAACGTCGCGTCCAAGATTATTGCACTTATATAGCGACGTACATGTACATGTATGTGTTTGTGTGGCTGCTTGTACTAGTCTGGACTGATGCCGATTTATAGTGCTTGCTCACTGAGATACCATGCTGCAGTTTAACACGAATACCCCACTCAGACACAGCATACTGACTCCGAGCCGACCAGTCCTTGTTTTAGCCCCTTAATGCCGAGCGCCAGACAGGGTAACAACAAGTACCATCTTTTAACGTCTTTTGGTATGACGCGGTCGGGGATCGAACCCCGGACCTTCCGCTCTCCGGACGGACGCTCTACCATTAGACCATGGAGGCGGTTTTGAACTGTTTGAAGGCAAGTCTTACCTGACAACTTTCCTGAACCAGCAAAAGTAGAGGCTGAGCTATCGCTCAATGCCCATGACACTACAGTGCAGCATGACATGCATAATGAATGTCAACACTCTTCATGCATAAGTACATGCCTTCATCTTTCTCTCACTAGTTGTGTTCACTTGCCAGTGTTTACTTTCAAACATTAGCGTGCTGTGCAATTTTTATGTACTTGATATGCCAGTATTTTGTTGTTTTTCTATTTCCTTGCAACGTAACTGAACTCTTAAACTCTGAACTCTAGAAATAGAAATATCAGTGTTACTTTCAGAGATACCATTACGTAGGATGACATTGCATCACTGAATACACTGGTATCAAGTTATACGCTCAGCAGATTAGTCCAGTAGTTTCATCAAAAATAAGAAAATAGATAGAATATTTGGATTATCTGACCATGTTTTCATTAAGTGATCTTACAAAGCAAGCAGTTTCCGAATGACTGTGTATCAACTTTGACATGTCATTCAATGGGATCAACATATTACTTGACAGGATTTGATTATTAGCATCTATTTACATTCCACTGAGTAAGGGTGAAGCTTATTTAACTCTGATATTGCATAGACACTTTCAGACTGCAGTCCAAATAAATGACACAAAGACAGTACTCTATTGAGTTTTATACTTTAATGTAAATAACATTCATAAACATATAACATCTCCTTGTTTAGAATGAACTTAGGGGAAATGTTGATATATAATCCTTACTGAATTTCTTGATAAACTCTGGTTTGACACACTTATTGTGGAAGTGCGTTGATATGTGAAAATTATTTATACTGGTTCTATGTAGCTGCACATCTTCTTGCACTGTTATGATGAACTGAAAGGCATCAATAGCAGCAGAATAACACAGTTTTCCTGTATGTCATTATTTTAGTTTTTCATTTTGTTGTCTGCACCTCTGTGATACTTGTCAGGCCATGTGGAATCATTTGCTCATGTGAAGTCAGTGTTCTTTGTTATTTGTCCTCACGGGTCGCTCAGCCTGTATAGATGTCAAACATAATCCTCAGATTGATACTATCTATCAGTGTATCCTAGGACGCAGGATGCTGACGCTTCTTATCTTAACAGACTTTTGTTTATTACGTATTCTGATCAAAGGGAGATAATCCACACAGCATTACTGCCATCAGAATGGGTCACAATGAACTTGTCTTTTTTAAAATTTATTATTACAAGGGAATTCTCAGACCAAAAAAAAAGTCATAAAATTCTGTGTGTTAATTATACAATACTTCACTGGTATTAATTATAAATTTGTCAAAACCACATGGGTTTGTTGTATACAATGTTCCCATGAAGATCAAGGGTAGAATAGGTCTTCCGCAACCCATTCTTGCTGTAAAAAGTGACTATTCTTGTCGTAAGAGGCGACTAACGGGATTGGGTGGTCAAGCTTGCTGACTTGGTTGATGCATGCCATCAAATCCAAATTGTCTGGTCCAGACTTCATTATTTACAGACCACAAGCATAGTGTATAAACCTGTAAAGAATTAATGCTGCTGTAATTTCAGCATCTATTCAATCTAGCAATAACTGATTATCATAAATACAATGTCCAAGTTTCAAACAGATCATTAATATCATAAAGATCTAAATTAAGTATGGTTGCAAGTCTGAGGCAGCTGATGGTGATCCAGTGCATTTATTTGTTACAGTCAAGGGATTGACTCCCCCATCACACTTTTAGAAAGTAGGTACAAGTGGGTTTCCAATTTTGGAAGAAAATAATAAGGTCATCAAGGTAGAAACTATCAATGTCAGCAAGACCATGAAGTCAACGTTTCGGTTTTGTAACAGTTATCGTTTGATAACAAATCTTACATCATGTGGATTTAAATAGACTACAACAAAACTAAATGTCAGTGTTATTTGTCTTGTCAGTAAAAAAAATGCAGTTACTGTGTACATTTTTTCATGTTTATGGATGTTTTGGTGTACAGAGGTATTGATGTTAACTCCAACATAATGTGATATGATCTATCAGCAATAGGACTTTGTACTCTCATGTTATGTGTTTTAAACATACTCATCATATTACCCTATACATGTTTTATGTTGACCATTAAACTGAACATTACCATGAAGTGTTGTTGTTTGAAGTTGAATCCAGATTACCAAACTACACTGACGATCAGGGAGTCACAAAGTATATCCTGGATTCCTGTCCGATTGTGATATTTCCTTAACAACATCGTTCACTGCTCATGCCGTCTACCCACGGCCCAGACTTCAGGCTGCTGTGACTCCTGCTTCAAATTCCCCATTCACTCTCACTCACCCTAATCAAGAGAGTTCACAAAAAGCACTTCAGCATACAAAGTGACAGGCTATTGTCAGTAACTATTACCCCGATAATTTGCTGTCATTACTCACATCCATCCCTGGTTTGTTTGAGCCCAATTATTTACAGGTCACGTCATATAATCGTCTGGGCAAACAAAAGTATACACTTAAAAATTGGATTTAAAAACCCCAAACATTATCAAAACGTTACTACGCTGAAAACAATCACTAAAACACTGCAAACTTAATGTCCAAAACACAAGTATGATACTCGTATGAAATATATGATAACCATTTCTTGTTTGTTTCATTTTTAGCCACCATCAAACATTGGTGTATACTTTCTTTTGCATAGCAGTTTAGCTTAAAGTGTGGCATTAAATAACAAACAAAACAGTAAAACTATTACACAGGTACCTCACACGACTGGGCTAGTTCGACCAGAGCATTAATAAACAAAAACACACTAGCAAACTGATTAGTCAGCTCTATAAAATACTAATGTCCTCAACATGCACTGTGAGTTTTATGACAGAACATTAATCTTAAACCTGTGCATATTGTATTCATGTAAATTGTCAAGTTGTGTTTGAAGTGAATTAATAGGTGCCATAGATGCACCACAGAATATCAGTATCATGGGATCATGTTGATTTCAAGTCCTGCTATCAGTTCATCTTCAGTAATTAACCATTTCTATTTTAGAAATCCAATCTGAAACACAGTCACACGCAGCAACCATCCTCTGCCAAGCATAACATAGTAGTACCTACGTGAAGAGTCTCTTTAGCACCAGACTCATGGGGCTTCTGTTTAAGAATATAGGGCCCATGCAACATTTGCTAGTAAGAAGCGACTAAATGGATCAGTCAGTCAGGCTCGGTGTTATGGTTGATTGCATGTCATTGAATCTCAAATGCATTGATCAATGCTCATGCCAATCACTGAATTGTCTGTTCCAAACTCGATTATTTACAAACCACAACATATATAGCTGGCTTATTGCTGAAACAGCAAACAAACTTCGGCCCCACCCTTGACAATATTTCACTGTCACACATTATTAAAAAAGACTCATGTTTTGTAACAAAACTTGTTTAATGTCACTTGTCTTGACTTTCAAAGTAAACTTGGTCATTTCTTTGCAACCAAACAAGGTGCAAAATATTTATCATTGTTGACAGCTGCTAGCAACTGAGATATCAGAGCTGGTAATGGTTGGCGATACATTCATGAAGCAGGTTTCATATAACCATTTCAACACCATCATGTTTTCGAATATGCATTTACATCAGCAATCCATTTGTCCATTCATTTACAAATCCAGTGCCTGCTCACCATCTTAATAGCAACCGCACTGAAATATAGACACAGCACTTCGGTACAATTGTTCCATCCTGCAAACCTTTTTCAATGACATGAAACTTTGGAAAAAAGTACACCTACGATTAATATCTATCACTTCTTTGAGCCCTTTGCACTTGAGTCTTTTTTGTCACCATCTTTCGTCTTATCTTTATCCTTGTCTTCTTTATCCTTGTCCTCCTTCTTTTCTTTCTTCTCCTTGGGGTCCTTTCCTTCATTCTTCTCTGCATCGCGGTTCTGGATCTTGTTATTGATGAGATTGTGGAGTGCAATAATGGAACGTATCAAAGATGCCAAGTAGACAACCAACATCTGATCGTTTGTCTTAACATACATCGATTTGACAAATTCTTGCAGGTTCACATCGGGAAGGAGGTTGAAGATGTCTTGAAGCTGGTAAATGATCTGATGGTTAATGGGCAGTTGCCCAGATGTCACTTTTTCCAGATATGCGCTTATATCATTGATGTGTGAATGGAGGCCCTTCAGACCCATCAACTGACTGGTGATCCGTTGAGACAGTGTGCCTACAGTTGTGTCCTTGATGTCCCTGAAATCATCAAATATAGCCCCTGTACCTTATGACTAGACAGGAACATCACAGGCACATCCTAAAGGCATACCATTTCCACTGCAGCATAATTCTAGAACTCTTGAGTTTTGTTTTAACGCCGCTTTGAACAGTATTCCAGTTATCATGGCATGTCAACATATGTGGGAGGAAAGCCGGAAGTCATGCAGGTCTTAAACATTTACCACTAAGGTGGAACCCACGATCATGGGCATGGTGCTGACAAACCTAGAAATATCAGAGTGAACCAGGATTCGAAACCACAATCATAGGTTTCGGGTGTGTCCAAGGGACGTAACTCTGCACAGCGAAATGTGGCACCTTAGACGACTGGGTTGCCCCCACTAGCACTTAAATGCCAGAAGACTAACTAGTATTGGCAATAAGATACCTATAACCATTGTTAAACAAAATAATCTCATACATAGAATTAGATTGCATTACAATGGTGCAAACAAATGTCCAGTCTAGGGCACTTATTTGTTATGTATGTTAACCAACCTGAGCAAATGTTCCACTCCCACTTCCTCTGCCTCTTCTGCACCAATTTCACTGGGCACATGGTCAAATGTTTTAGAGGTTGGGGTTCCATCCTGAAATAGACAAATCAATGGGAAACCATGACATACAAGCATTCTCTTACAATCTAATCCGCTGTGCAATCTTTCTGAAGTTATATTTAAAATCATTCCTATGATTATACTGATCTGTAATAATTACACATATGAAAAACCATAATCAAAATGCAAGCTATCAAAGATTTTTACTTCTAGATATATAACATGAGATTTCTAAAATTTCCAATAAAATCTTTTGATATGCAAATTTTTGGACGAAACAAACAACAAAAGCATAGAGACCAAACTGATTGTGACCAATTCTTGATGAGAAAATGACAAGAGTTATGTATCCTGCTATGTGAATAGTAACTTACATCATGCACCTCTTCCACTGACACATAGGCTTCAGTTGGCAGTCCTAGGTCCTTAGGCTTTGCATCAATTACCACCAACACCTGGAGTAAAGGATTTACCATTGACATACCAGAATCAACTCTTAATGACATGAACAAATACAGTTAACTACGGTTATTACAAACTCAAAGGGACCACTAATTTTAGTTTGTAATAACCATAGTTCGTTGTAAGCATATATACAACAAATGGCCGGAACTAAAAAATATGTTTGCTGTAAGTTTCTTTCTTATTAATGTAGTTTACTGTTTGCAGTTTTGTGTACTGAACACCATGTTAAAGATTGGAAAATATTAAGCACGACCTCAATAGCCTCCATCAATCTGACCCATCTTAAAAATGCTACAGTGTCAAAGAAAATTCTTATTTGAAGATAGTTTGCCAATAGCAGGGTGAGTCACAGTGCAAAGAAAGTCAGCTGTTTTCCCTGTTAGACTGAACCATGTCATCTTCCTGAGGCAAGGGAGTTACTGCCTATAAAAATCCAGTTTCAAACCCTTGCCAAACTGGGCTGGAATTCTGGAGTTACATTTTGGCTGGACTAATGAGCCTATGCATAGTCCAATCAAAATCGTGTAACAAACAAGACATCCGGTCCGTAAACATGGATTTCAATGTGCAGTCGACTGCAGGCTTTGCAAAACGTGTGTACTGCCAACTTGCCATTGACAGATATTTTGCAAATCTTTTCATGTTTTAATCAAGGTGCATAAGTGATTTGATGCACTTCACGGGGTAAGACCTGCTTTTATTACAATATAGATCTTGATTTTCGACCAGATCTTCTAGACTGGGCGCCGCTATTTTGTTTTGAAGCAAATGCAAGCGATATGAGCGATAGAATGTAATTGGTCAATAGGAGGGACTTAACTTGTAATAGCCACTGGTGGTGCTACGATCAAGCCTTGAACTTTCAGCCTAGTTCGGCAAGGTTGGAAACTGGACTTTTATAGTCAGCTAACTACCTTGCCTCAGGAAGACTGAGCCATGTAGTACAATACCATGTAAGTCACATTATGAAGTTTGTTCTTTAATGCCACAGTAACCAATATTCCAGCTATAGGATGGCAGCATGTAAGTAATCATGTCTGGATCAGAGAAAGCCATATTATGTGCAATGTCACACGAGGCATCTTACAGAATCCCAATAGGTCCACATGACTTACTGAGTTGGGGTTGTATCTTCTGACAAGTTCATTGATTGCCACATCATTGGGGTGAAGTTTGGGGCCAGTATGATACCATCCCACAATCTTCTCACGGGCTGTTGGAACAAATAGCTACATATAAGCAACAATAGTGTATAAACATGCACAATAGAAAAAGAGAAGCAGACTAAAAAGATTTGTTTGTTTTTATGTTTAATGCCACACTCAGCAATATTCTAGCTATATGATGGTGACCTGTAAATAATCAAGTCTGGACCAGACAATCCAGTAATTGACATCATGAGCATTGATCTATACACACATGATACAATTGGGATATGACAAAATGCATCAACCAAGTCACCAAGGCTGACCACCTGATCCTGTAAGTGGCGTCCTACGACAAGCAGAGTTGACTATTAGGGCAAGCACGGGTTGCTTTATTCTAACCCCGATCTTCACAGGGCAGTCTAAAAGGAATAAGCATGCACATGACACAGCCAATTTCAACAAGACAATCTGTTATCATAATCATTATGTCTTCCCACATCGCTGCATTACATACAAGTAGCTCACCACTCTATTACTGTAAATCTGTGACAAAAATGCTGTATCATGGTTGTAGAAGAGGCTGCATTTATGTTAACATGCGTAATTATCACTTCCTAAAATCCTCACCAGACATGTTGATTTACCGTTTAAATTGTATTTATTGTTCTGCTAGGCATTGTTTTATATCCAGGGATTAAGATTACCTTGTGTATTTTCTCGTAAACTAAGCAATCAGCTGTACACACGTTTTCTTGGAATCTACCGGTGATTCGGTCAAGACACACCCAATGATATAAATTTACAGGATTTTAATGCAAGGGTTAACAAAAATTGTATCTGAAACTATTTTTTTTATCAGGAATAATATATTCCAATATCTTGTTAATTTAGATGTAGCTTTTACTAAACATATTTAAAATAATAATAACTCTGAGGGAAGCAGCTGATCGCTACTGCCGGGTATTATTTTTTACATGGAACCAGTCTGACCAGTCACCGTCAAGGCTCCCTCTCACGTGATCGCGAGAATTACGTGTTGACATAGAATCATCCAACAAAACCAAATATGACTTTTAACGAGTCAAAGTATGGCTTTTATGACATATGTATCCATTCTCTGTCAACTAAAGTTTGTTTCAAGGCGTCAATAGCGGTAATCTGACCGTGGTTGCTGTTAATAACGGTGAGTATTCGATCTTCCGATCACTTCACACACGATTTCGCCGAAATTAATTAAAACAATATTAAAAGGAATTTTGAATAAAATTAATGAAATAAGTTACAAACATAAGTCCAGATATACAAAGAACACTTTTTTATAGCCAGACAGTGTAATTACATGATTAATTTGCGTACTCCAGTATGGATTTGTTGACATGGTATTTCCGGTGTTACGTGCTCACGGTAATGTTTTTCCATGGGGGAAAAAACATCAAAACTCATTATTTCGTGTATAATGCGCACCCCCTTCTACACAGCTGTGTTGTTTTTTTTAAAAAGTGCGCACTATACTCGAGAAAATACGGTAGTTCTTATGAACACTGGTTTTATATCAAATACATTTGTCGATTTACCTGTAAATGAAACATTATCATGATTCATTGATCATTTTAATAAAGTGATATCAATAGCAGCCTCTACAATGTACACTGCAAATGTTGATACTCCCTTTTGCTAACCATGCTAAAAATTACCATTGACTTTCTTGAACATTCCATACATATTCTCCAAGTAATCATGGTCAAGGAACCACACATTCCTGTCCTTGTCATCCTCATCAAATGGAACTGAAAGAGAAGTTATCATTTTGGTTATCACAATTATAAAAACCATGAGTTATATACAAAAATGTAACTTTATTGATTCTATGATACTGTGTTCCAAAATTTATTGTGTTTATTTTGCTTAAACCTGTCATTGTGCATCATTCTTAGCAGACATAAGTCAACATGTAATCATTGAAGTCAGCAGTTGTAGTAGGGAGTACTGCCTTGATGGACATGGGCAGTAGAAACCTGAGGAAACTTGCACCGTGTTGTACAGTCAGGGTTGCCAACCAGTTATTGCCATTTTTCATAATATTTCTGACATATTCCTTGTACAAAATTGACTGTACCTATAACTTTGATTTAGTCACATGACACTGTTCGCGTCTCTTTTCTTAGGTTGCATTTGAGCAAGGTGATTGTGTGTGTTTTTAATATTCACTCACAACAGTCCATTTTGTACATCATTTATGGATAAATATTTCCTTCTTCTAATGAAAACAGGCAAAAGCAATATGAGACGCAATCACATGAACGTTATAACGGTGAGTTGGTGATAACCCGTCGCTCGCCAGTATGATTTTCATCGTAAGTTGATGAAAATCCATTGGTTTATTTCGTGAAAAGAGGTGAGATAGTCAATACATACTCTAACTCACAATTAACCCTAAGGATAGTAAAGGGCGTGCCTGGCAAACTGCAGTCTGGACCACCCTTTAAATCAAAACATTATAATTCGTCGATCTGACGCGCTTGAATAAGGATAAAATATGCGGACTAGCAACAATACCATAATCATGATTATGACAATAATTCGGATATGCTTTTTTACCAAAATATGAATACACGAAAGAATTTCATATTTATAACGTTTCGGTGGCAGAACAACCAATGTGTTTTTTACATACCTGCAAAGCTGTTTGATATGTCAAGAATTCCTTGTCTGTTTGCTCCAAGCAAGACACCGACAACGCGTTTGACGTTGCCGACTTTTCCCATACGATTAAAATGGTCCACGACGCTCAAAAGCACAAGTGGATGAACAACCACTTTAGTTATTTGTTTGCTTGGTTCAGTAACAGGCATTCTGTCTGTTTTGATTTGACGAAAGATAACTAAATAAGCTTATATTTCTCAAACAACAATTAACGAAAATGCTTTCAATTTTCCTGAATCATGTCGGCATGGACTTCCGCCGGAAAACGGAAGCGGATATTCGATAGATCACTACACAGAAACTTTGATCGTTTTGAAAAAGCAAAAGGAATTATGATCGGATTGAAAAAACACCCCTTAGAATCATACAACGTATTTATGTTTCAAATTTCCAACTTTTAGTTTGTTTGCATGTAAATTAACGAACGATAAATAGTGGAACTATGTTCTTCGCGTATGTTCATGCTTACATAAGTGATAAGGCTATATTGTTTACAGGTGCTTGGCAATGCATTGGAGGATGGTGGTGTAGCTCATGGGGTTATAAATTATGCAGAAATCAGTCTCACCTGAACGGGTTCCGCGAGAAGCGCTTCACGAACAACATGAACGACTTACCACGAAGCACATTCAAACGCTGTCGTTCTTACAGGACATCGTTAATGAGAACAAACAACTCAAGGCCAGAGTGGAGCAGCTTGAGGTGTTCTATTTTACATGCGAACATAGAACTATGATTAATATCATTTTTGTCCTTTACGTACACATTGATATTGTTTATTAAGATTTTATTGTACCATCCTAAACAATGTTAAAAAGAGCAAAAATTTTGTTGCTAATTTAGATTCAATGATATCGATGTGAATATCATTGATAATAATATTAATAATAATAATAGCACCGTACTCCATGCCTAAGCATGCTGTAAGACCTTAGACATTATTACCCCTATCAATGGATCAGTATGCACTCAATATTCATTCTCAGCTCCCTGGGGAGTATACAACCCAAGCTGCCTGTGAGGGGCTAGAGGGTTATTTCAATTTGTCACATTAATAGATATCATTGATGTCCTGTAAGAAGTACCTGGCATAAAATTAACAAGAGTGAGTTAGTGAGTTGGGTTTAACACTGCATTTAACAGTATTCCAGTTATATCATTGTGTGCCAGCTTAATGTGGGAAGAAAGTCCGAAGTGATGACGTTTACCACTTTTGGAAATCCACAAGCACAAGTATGGTGCTGACAAGCCTAGAAACATAATCAAGGTGAACCAGGATTCAAACCCACAATCAGGTTTCAGGAGTGCCCAAGGGACACAACTGTGCACAGCTTTAGATACCTGGGCCACCCTACCCCCACATGAACAAGAATAATATTTTAGAACTTGTTATTACAGATTGATGAAGGTACACTGTTAAGCTGACAAAGCAGCACTCAAAATATCTTGACATCCTTAATTGCAACATATTGGCAAAAAGCACAAAACAGGTAGTATGTTATGGGGGTCTTTGAAAGGCATTTAGAAGTGATACACATAAGGAAGAGAATTTATGGATGTCAACTTCTTTATTATGAGAAACACAACATTTCCTCCTTCATCAGGTGAATGAATGCCATGAGGCAGAGGGCATATATATGTACATGTAAGGACAACAAAATCAATCAGATAACAAAAGGTGGAAAATAACAAAGGTAAGAAAGCTAATAAGGGACGCCAACAGATGATTGGCGCTGTTGGTGATTAGCAATAGACAATGGAAGCCAACACTTTACAGTAATTAGAGCTGATAGCATTGAAGCCAGTACTTAAGTTATCATAGATCAGTAACAGGCAATGGACAATGGGCAAACCGGAGTAATTAGCACTGATAGGTGAAAGAGTGGACATAGCAATAGGCAAATTGTCATGATGATCACAAAACGTGAAGATCCGGGGTAGAATAGGTCTTCAGAAACCCATGCTTGCCGTAAAAGGTGACTATGCTTGTACTAAGGGGCCACTAACGGGATCTTGTGGTCAGGCTCGCTGACTTGGTTGATGCATGTCATTGTATCCTAATTGCATGGATTGATGCTCATGATGTCAATCACTGGATTGTCTGGTTCAGACTTTATTATTTACAGACTGCCGTCATATAGCTGGAATATTGCTGAGTGTGGTTTTAAACAACAAACAAACATGATGATCGGACATGTATATTGATGTCATCCTTCACAAATTTGTTATACAGAGAATCCAGAAAGAGTATGAATCCCTGGAGGAGATGGAGGACGACCATCAGGATCGCATCAAGCAGATCCAGGAGCAGTACATGAACAGAGCAGATGAGATCAATGCCATGCTAGCAGAAAAACACAAAACAGAGGTTGGCCATTAGTAGTATAGAGATAAATTTATATATTATAGTTAATTGATAAAAAAGGACAAACATTGGGCTATTTTCAGAGCGTCCAGAAAGGGCGTGGTGACTTGTCGTCATTGCTCATAATATCAATTACTGGATTGTCTAGTCCAGATTTGATTGTTTATACTTTTAGCATGTTTAGTTTATTCTTTGCTTTGTTTTGAGGGAGCTGAATTAGAGATCCGTTGAAAGCAAAAACTTGTGCCAATAATCTTATCTCTGTTCATATGTATGTTGGAAACATGATGGATAAATTAGTGCCAGCATGTAGCTGTTTCTATTCTAATATTGTTTGGAACATACTAACTTACACAGATCCTACAGCTGGTGGATGAGAAAGTTGAAATTGAAAAGAATGCATACCAAGAAATTACTAAGGTGAGTTGCTGACTTACACAAATATAATAATGATAAATAGAGTACATAAAGAAACCCCATTGTCATGATCCTCGTACCATGCCTATGAATTTATTTTAATATGTTTGGAATAAACAATGAAGGGGTTAGTTAGTTATGGGCATCTTGTTGCACTGCATTACCTCCTGTTTTAATACCTAATCATGCTACAGGCTTGAAAACTCCTTGAATTTGGCAGTCCTACTTGAAAATTCCTTGAATTTGGAAATCCTGTCTTGAGAAAATTCCTTGAATTTGGAAATCCTGTCTTGAAAAGTCCTTGAATTTGGCAGTCCTACTTGAAAATTCCTTGAATTTGGAAATCCTGTCTTGAAAAGTCCTTGAATTTGGCAGTCCTACTTGAAAAGGTGGGGTCAGGGGTGGCCACATTCTGGGATGGTATAGTAATGCATTCTGTGATGGTATACCTCATGGGGATTCCCCTCACCCCTCATAGTCATGCATTCTGTGATGGTATACCTCATGGGGATTCCCCTCAACCCTCATAGTAATGCATTCTGTGATGGTATACCTCATGGGGATTCCCCTCACCCCTCATAGTAATGCATTCTGTGATGGTATAGTAATGCATTCTGTGATGGTATACCTCATGGGGATTCCCCTCACCCCTCATAGTCATGCATTCTGTGATGGTATACCTCATGGGGATTCCCCTCAACCCTCATAGTAATGCATTCTGTGATGGTATACCTCATGGGGATTCCCCTCACCCCTCATAGTAATGCATTCTGTGATGGTATAGTAATGCATTCTGTGATGGTATACCTCATGGGGATTCCCCTCACCCCTCATAGTAATGCATTCTGGGATTGATTCCCCTCTCCCCTCATAGTATTGAATTCTGTGATGGCATACCTTATGGGGAGTCCCCTGTCCCCTCATAGTAATGCATTCTGTGATGGTATACCTCTAGGGGATTCCCGTCTCCCCTCATAGTAATGCATTCTGTGATGGTATACCTCAGGAGGATTCAGGGCAGAATCTGTCACCAGTTACCATGCTTCGAGCTGGGTGTGTACACTGTGTGACCTGGCTGACTGTGTCATCCCATCATGCTCACGAATCAGTGCTCACGTTTAAACCACTAGTAGTTTATTAGGGCTCCAACCAGTAGTCAAGTGATTGGGGCCAGGTCGATTTCAGCAAAACTTGACTCGAGTACTCACTAGGGGGAGGTAACTCTAATTCACATACTTTCTTAATTTCAATACACATGTATATAATTAAAGAAAGACGTCTCATTAATTTAGTCAGACTATTCAGCTACAAGTGAGAGTTGGTGTATACATAGAATAGCATTGATAGTATTTCTTCTCTACTGTAATTTCATTGGATGGTTGTTCTGTCAGTTATCCAACCACATAATAGTATGTGGGTTAAGTAGATAAGTGACATGGAAGTGGATTCCCATTGTAGCAAGGTGTAGAGTTGTCCGAGACATTTTAATGTACATCAGTGTCAGTGCCTTGCACGAAGTATATAGGTCAACATGTCCCAGAAAGTTACAGTATTGAAAATCTGACACACAGTGTGGTTTATTTACGTTTTGTTTCAGTTATATATATTTTGCTTTTATTTGCTAGAAAAGGGAAGCTACATAAGCGGACATGCTGAACCCTTATTCATAAAAATAATGACATTGTCAAAAGGTTCTCATATATAATCAGGCACTCGAGCATGAGTCAGTTTCGAGATGAAACATGTGGACCTGTTGAAGCCCCATTGTTGACTGTGCACTGTGATAGATAGTGCGTACACTGCTGCTTGTAGAAGGACACTGACTGTATCCGTGGTATCTGTTGCAGCTGAAGGCTGACATTGAGGTCCTACAACAGACCAACAGAGAACTCCTAGGGCAGCTGGGGCCTCTCACTGACCTCGAGGAGGAGAACAAGGTAGGAATATAGTAATTGTCTTAATAACAACATTTGCTAAAACTAATATTTATTTGATAGATTCAAATTAATGTATTGCCAAAGGCTCTTGTTCTATACCCCATGTGGTACAGTGTTTCAAGCTCTTGTGCCTTTCCTCCATGACCGCCTCCGTGGTCTGGTGGTAGAGCGTCCGCCCGGAAGGCGGGAGGTCCGGGGTTCAATCCCCAGCCGCGTCATACCAAAAGACGTTAAAAGATGGTACTTGTTGTTACCCTGTCTGGTGCTCGGCATTAAGGGGCTAAAACAAGGACTGGTCGGCTCGGAGTCAGTATACTGTGTCTGAGTGGGGTATTCATGTTAAACTGCGGCATGGTATCTCAGTGAGCTAGCACTATAAATCGGCATCAGTCCGGACTAGTACAAGCAGCCACACAAACACCCACACCAACATGCACGTCGCTATATAAGTGCAATAACCTTGGACACGACGTTAAACCCCATTTCACCTCACCTTTCCTCCATCTTTGTATTGCTGGAGGTGGTGTAAAACTCTACTCAGTCATACAATAAGGAAATACTGCACCACTCAAAATATGAACTCTGTCAGCTAATTCGTTAAACTATACATTGTATGTGACAAAATGATACAAATATCCTTTATATATTTCTTCAGTCACTCAAACAAGATCTTGAAAATGCTAAGAAGGAAAATGAAAACTTGAAGTCTGAGTACACCAAGTTGGAAGAGGCGTCTGCCAGCAAGGTGGACGTGCACCACCTCCAGGGACTTAAAGCTCAGAATGAGGCCCTCCAACAGCATGTCAAAGAGCTGGAGCAGAAGAAGCATGAAATGGAGCACAGGATCTCTCGACTGGAGGCTGAGGTGGTAGAGAAGTCACAGGATGCGGACAAGGTCAAACTCATCGATAACCTTCGTCTCAAGCTAGAGAAACTACACAAGGAGAAAGCAGACCACTTGACAAGGATAACGGTCAATGAAGCTGAGATTCAGGACCTTACAAGGGAAAATGAACAACTGAAGGGCTCTCTCATCCAGCTTGAAAAGGAGAAAGAAAAGCTTGCTTCAGAATTCCGAAATGTGTTATATGAACTCCAGACTTTGAGGAAACAATTGTCACATGATAATGAAAAGAAGACGTTCAGGGATTATGTGATGGTGAAAAGAGAAGTGAATGTATTAAGGGAGGAGAATGCTGTTCTGAGACAGAGGAATAAATTGACAGTCGAGAAGCTGCCGGTCCTGAAGCCGGACCGACCACAGTCGGGCATCAAGGGGGCAGAATCCAGGGACACTAACAAGAGGCGGCAGTTAGCATTGCCATCATCAGGACATGCTTGATAGAAGTGAGTTACCGTTCCTGAAGGCCGAAAGGGTAGATTCCAGGGACACTTACAAGAGGCGGCAGTTAGCGTTGCCATAACGTTCAGTTTAGGAGTCTCTCTGTTAACTTGGTGTTCTGTGTAATGTAGTCAAACATAGAAGTTTCTAGTTTACAAATTAAACATAAAGCCATTCCTGAAAATGCATTTCTGGATCTTGTATTTATGCCCCAATAAGCAGCCCCTGATCATCTTCTGGACCAATCTGTAAGTAATCTTTATAAGCGCCCCCTGCAAAAATAAAAAACTTACCCCTTAATTATTATAGAAAAAAGTTTGATTACTACCGCTTGATTTCTGTATACAAGTTTAACTTGTGTATGATTTTAATAAGCATCCCCTTCGTCCATTTCTAAAAGACTAACATATTTAGGATTAAATGGTTATTGTATTGTATATCATGTATATGTTATGTTCACATATTGGCCAAAATCAGACCTCTTACAGCATTTACCATGTTTAATGTGTCATGTGGTTTAATTTATACCTCCTAAACAGTATGCAATGTTCCATCTTGCTTCGATCATATGACAGTGTAGAACAATCACCAGAACACACCCTCCGACCACCTCGCTCCCAGCACGCTCCTGTACTACTCGTCACTTTTTTCCTTCCTTGCCCGTGGTAAATGGACAATTGGATTAGTTTTTGTCATTTGGGTTTGACTTTGATTAATCATTCTTAGTCACTGTTAGTCCCTGGCCGTTATTTATCAATAAATATGATTAAACGGCTACTTACCATCGTCACACGCATTCTTTCACGGCCATTGTTCCCATTGGCTCGTGAAAGCTCCGTTTTGGTTTACTTTCTCGTGTTTCTACCACCCTCGTTTTAACCCGGGATGGTTGCATTTTGTTGAATGTTCGTGATTTTTATTCTTCTAAGCCCACTCCGAATGTGTGTGGAAGAAATCAGCATCGGACCCCCAAGGTCTCTGCCCTGACTGCCGCATCCCCTGCACCCCTGCACCGGTCCAGCATTGCACTGATTGTGCTCACTTATCTCTCGACCATTTCAACGTTTACCTAGCCAAACTATGCAAAAGGGCCCTTCAACAACTATAGCGTCAGACTTTGTGCCCTGCTTGGAAGCCTGCAAGTTGCCAATCCTTGTTTGTCGCCTCTTATACCCATGACGTGGGCGGAGCATCTTCCACCTCGGTCATCCCGCCAACTATTAGTCTGCTCAGGAACTTGTATGACAAGTACTACTCCGCCTTGCATCCCTTGAGTCCCTCGACCTGGAGACTCTAGGAGCCTCCCTAGGTGCAGACGCATTCGTCAGCGTATCTCCAAGCGCCTCCTCAGGCACTGCCTCCTTTTCAGGCGCAGACACAGGCACCTCAGCAGGGGTATCGTCATGTGCCTCGTCAGGGCCGCCTACACTTCAAGCACCTCTCCAGGCACTGCCTCCTCCTTCAGTGCCTCACCTGGTGCAGGCGCCCCCAAAGGGCTATCTTCAAGCACCTCACCAGGCGCCACATTAGCAGATTTGGTTCATTAGGCACCGCAATTACAGGTGCAGCTACATGGTATCCAAGATACCGTTTGTTGTCTGCCACTCTACGCTTCTAAGGATTAGATCCTGTGAATCATGGACGTCATTAAACTGGAGGAGCCTGTCCTGCTGCCTTCAGTGAAATGCTCCTTCCATCCCAGGATTACGACATTTTATACGGTGCCCGTTGATAACGTGGTAGACAGCATCTCTGTTTTTACTTGCAGCAGGCTTTGGATAATGTTGCCCTTAAGGTTTCGCTTCCCAAATGTGCCATCACGTCATCCCGGTTTAAATTGCATGGAATTTCGTTCCCCAGTTTGTTAAATGGCGCCTATCCTTGATGTATGAACTGTTACGCCAACCTTAGTCCACGGGTAGACTGAGAAGCTCTTCAACAGGAGATTTAGGAGAATTTTCTCTCCACTGCCCAGGCCGAAGCTACAGTTCAGACCTTGCAGATGTGTATTACCCGCCCAGGTACTCAGTATACATGGAGGATGCCCTAACAACCAAGGCTAAACACCTCCGTCGTGATGAACCATACTCCAAACCTTCGACGCAGACTGCATCTTCTCAGATTTCTATGGCCAGATCGACAAGGGGCTGTACTCAGTCTTCCTCCTCGGGCTTGGTGCAAGGGCGCAGAATGACACTCCGGCATGACGCTCCTTCCAGGGCAACTGGAATCTACCGCCACCGGTCGGTTCTGGCAAAACTGGGACCAACTCTTCTCGGACCGTTGGGTCATTCAGACTCTCGGCTACAGGTCCCACTGAACCTCCAGGCTTCAGGACTTCAGGACTGTGGACGGCCCTGTTTCTCCATTGGCACATCAACTGTTTAGAGTTTCAATCTATCTATCGCAATCCATCAGACACACCACATGACCAGAAATGGTTATCTATTGAGGCTTATTGACATCAACATGATATGGATCATGCTTTGGTGACTTCTTAGTCTGCTTACGTGAGAGAAAACATTTGTCAGGCGGCACAATTGCCAGTTACATCTCAGCCATTACCTCAGTCCTTGACGCCTCCTGATCTAACCGTATCACCACGGCTCCTGAACTCACTGCTATATTAAGGGGTTACCTGATCTACCCGTATCACCACGGCTCCTGAACTCACTGCTATATTAAGGGGTTACCTGATCTACCCGTATCACCACGGCTCCTGAACTCACTGCTATATTAAGGGGTTACCTGATCTACCCGTATCACCACGGCTCCTGAACTCACTGCTATCTTAAGGGGTTACCTGATCTACCCGTATCACCACGGCTCCTGAACTCACTGCTATATTACAGGGTTACCGTGAGGCCAATCAGTGATTAATGTTTCACCCTCGGCCTTGGATCTGGGACTGGTGCTATGTCACCTCCCCGTTTCTCCCTACGAACCTATCCCTGCTGCAGTATTGGTACCTCTTACTCAGAAAACTGCCTTTCTTCTTTCATTGGCCAATGTGGAATGTGTCAGTGAACTGCACGCTCTAGACTTTATTGCCAAAAAATCAATTGCCTGGTCAGTTGGATCTTCACTATTGCTCCGCTGACTAATAATGTTGGGTCTGGTGACCTAGAGGACATCTACCTCTATGTAACTAGTCGTTTTCGGCACCAATGTGAACGCCTTTTCATACCAACCATCGAGGAGGGTTGCAGGAATATCTCCAAGAATACGCTGTCATTTTGGTTACATTCCCCCATTCTTCCGGCTTACGCCCATGCTGGTCTAGATCTGTCTAGAGCTTCCAATAATTCAGGCATTGTTCTTGCCACACCAACAGCTCTGTCACAAACTTTGTAAGAAGTTGTTTTGGTGAACCAACACTAATTTCACCAACTTTTACCTCCTAGCTCTGTCTGTTGAGGATGTCAAAGGAGTCGGCCAGGTGGGTCTTCTCGTCTTTTGCCAAACAACTCCTCCCACCACATTGCCGTTGATGAGGTTGGAATGAAGCTACTGCCATCAAGGACGTCCATACCAGCACTCCTGCATGTTTTGTCCTTCTTCCTACAGAATGGTTGCCTTAACTCAATACTGAGGGCAACTACGTATCGTGAGGGCAACTATGGTTCCTGATCTTTTGAGTACTTCCAGTTGAAACATAATTTCAGACCCAGCCTTGACTGTAATCAGGCATGGTGCGGATGTATTACAGGACTAGTGAAGTTGAACACACCCATGGGTTGAAAACAAAGTGGCAGTCTAGTCTAGTCTGTGCTCTGGTCCATCCACTAAACTGCAAATGGGGATATGCAGTTTATCAAACCCGCTGTCCTACCATGGGATAATTGCAGATATTTGTTGTAGAGGGATAAGTTACAAAATATAGGGAATTAGAGTCTTCCCCTTATTTTATATACTCATCCTGACACAACAGGTCATGTCTGCCCCGTCCATCCCCTTGAAGATTTGGATCAATGCGTCACCTGTCTACAGGCAATAGTGGGAAAAGTGACGAGTAATACAGGAGCATGCTGGGAGTGAGGTGGTTGGATGGTGTGTTCCGGTGATATGTCTACATTGTTCTACACTGATATGATCAAAGCAAGAAGGTTGCAACCTATAGCATACTGCTGTGGAGAGATAAGTTTATGTATTTTACTTATCCTGCATTACTCCTTAATGCATTTACTGGATACTTTTAAAAGAAGACAAAGCTGCAGTTTAATCCTAAAACTGGACAATTTATTAGATCAGCATGTCTGTCTGTGACAAGCAGTAATATATGGAGTTAACGGACATCGTCACATCGGGTCACATGGTCTCTTCTGCGTCGTCCTGCCACACACTTCAGTGAAACAACTTCTTTCTTAGCTGGACCCCTTTGTCTTCTGTCAAAAGTAAGCAATAATGCATTAATGAGTAATACAGGATACGTATACAAATGTAACAAATATGTAGATTTTACTAAAAGTAAGGTGAATACTCTAATTCCGTATGCTTTACTGAGTTTGATAACATGTTCAAACAGGAGAAAAACATATTCTTCATGAACTGTTTTACTATGTTAACCGTGGCAAGTTTGAAGATGTCCAAATGGAAACCTGTTATTCATATTGATGTGATTGAAGTCTTGGAACATAAAATAAACTTGTTATTCATATTGATGTGATTGAAGTCTTGGAACATGAAATAAACTTGTTATTCATATTGATGTGATTGAAGTCTTGGAACATGAAATAAACTTGTTATTCATATTGATGTGATTGAAGTCTTGGAACATGTCTGTTGAACATGTGTTGAACGTGTTGAGTGAGTGAGTTGGGTTTAACGCCGCTTTTAACAGTATTCCATTTACAACGCAGCTTTTGAACGTGTTGAAGTGATAATGATCATTATGATCATGATGATGTAAATTATTGTTTGATATCCTTTATGATTTACACCTGTTATTTGTCAGCACATTCCGTCCAACATGTCCAAAATATTAAATCTGTATTAAAGATATGTATTTTTACCTACCAGATTTACCATGTCTACAACCTTACAGATTTATCTGATGTTATTTTTTACTGATGTGATGGCGGCTGTTCTACGCAAGTATGTCATACAATATTTCATATCATTGAATGGCTTGGTAAAACATTTTGATTACAGTGCCACATTAATATATTCCAGTTACCATGGTTACCAGAACAGATTTACTCACATGTATCATCATGATCATGTTTGTAATAAAGATGATTTCATTCTATAACTGTTCTCATTTGGTTTTGATTTCATGCTACACTGTTGCAATCTCTATGAACAAATTGGAGGCTCTTGGGTATTCCAGGCTGTAGATGGTCACCAGCAACATGTGCTGGTCATTCGAGGCGACCGGGTCGTACTTTTTAAGGTCCGGGAGTTTTTGATGCAGTGCAGTTAGCAAGTAAAACATGTCTTTCTCAGTCTGTTTTGATTGTGAAAATATCAACTGTGAATGGCGTAGATAGATATTTTACACGAGCATGAGTGAATAATTCTTGTATTTCCTGAACAAGAGCCCTGTAAAGTAGGAGATTTGCAAATAAAAATATATAATTTATGAATTGTGTGAACAATTTGGAGACTGATGTATAAAACACGAATATCAGAAACACAAAATGCACATCAGTGACACTTTATTAAAATTAATACAAGAACACAACTATAGGAAAACTTGAGGAAAAGAGCAAACAGGTGACAGGTTATCTCCTTTACGAACACCATTGTCACAGTAAAAAAATCCAGACGTTTGACCATTTAAACAAACACATGACTTTATCATTATACATATTTCATATTAGAGTAAATAGTTTTCCTGACACATCATAGGATATTAATTTAAGCCATAGTCCATATCTCAACACGTTATCAAAAGCCTTTTTGGAATCGCCAAAGAAACAGATTAATATCAGACCTGAGGATTTCAATAATTCAATAATGCTTTTTAGAACAAAAATGTTGTCAACAGAACAGTATCCCTTATTCAGGGATTAGATCAAGAATTGATCAAGAACAGTCAGGGTGGTATGAAGCCCAGTAGGAGATATACAAATAAGGATAACTTTGACGTGTGAACAGTTGGGGGACTCATCAATATCATAAAAAAGCACATTAACAGCACATATATATATATATATATATATATATATATATATATAAGAATACAATTCTATACCAGTAGATACAACTTTATTGGTAGTGTTATTAGTAGGACTGGTGACATATATATATATGTCACCAGTCCTACTAATAACACCAGCAGGAATAAAGTTGTATCTACTGGTATAGAATTGTATTCTTGTATTAATTATTTTATATATATATATATATCTACTGGTATAGAATTGTATTCTTGTATTAATTATTTTATATATATATATATATATATATATATAAAATAATTAATACAAGAATACAATTCTATACCAGTAGATACAACTTTATTCGTGCTGGTGTTATTAGTAGGACTGGTGACAACCTACTTGATCTGTCAGGCTCGATTACTTGGTTGATTGCATATCATCCCACTATCATGCTGTTTCTCACAAAATCAATCACTGGATTGTTAGGCCTGGGCACGATTTTTGCAGGATGCTGTGAGATGAAACTAACTAGACTGCAGTTCATTTGGGACTAAATACGAGACCTAGAATCAGGGGTGTAAGATAGATGGTCATACTATAAAGTTCACACAATGTTTTTCAGCTGTCCAGTATGTGAGGTCCTACTGATGTCACACAACCTTTGACAGTCCTATCATCAAATACTATACATTTCTAAACAGTTTACAGTTCAACAAAACACTGCTGTGTCCTTTCACTAGTCTGGGACTAGCAGACTTGTGGCAATATGGCAATATAGCACCATGTAACCATGAAAACTGATATGGCTAAGTGATTTTATGCACTGTTTACAAGCCCTGAACATGTGGCAACTTCATACTTGCATTATTAGTGTGGATTCAACACTTGTATTCCTTTAACACTGCTACTGGAATATTGCACATTTTTGTTTGTCAATATACTTTGTGAGTAATATGTTAAGATTTTACAGAAATGTATGATGAGAATCTAACGGTGTTGGCCCCAGATACTTAGATTTCCTCTGTCAGTTTCAGTGTCTGTGCTTTGATCTAAGGGAGATAATCCATGGATGTTACTCACAATCACCCATCACAGTGTCTGCAGATTGGCCTCCGATCTCTGCTGTTTACTTAACTGAATGTTGTATAATCTATGTGTCAGTTCTTTCCCCTGCATATGTACTGTATTGCCTTTTGTTATGTGTTAATAAAGACACGCACGCACGCGCGCACCCAGGCACACACACTGAACAAAAATTGTAAGATCATGACAAATTTTTTGTTAACCGTACATGTTTATAAAAACTCATTTTTACTACAAATGATATCCCCCAAATATGAATGTTTGTGCTCAGCATAAGTTAGAATCAGTTGTTGAAATGGTCAGTAATTGTTGTTGTTTAAGGCTGCGGTCAGCAATATTACACTTGTCACAGTAGCCTGACAATAATCAATTCTGGACAAACTGACCCCCTCATGAGTCTCACCCGCAACCGCAACCGCACCCGCACCCCCACCCCCACCCGCACACGCACCCCCACCCCCACCCGCACACGCACACGCACCCACACTCCCAAAAAGGTGTTTTTTCAAGTTGTACCATAGTTTTTCCATATTTGGTACGGCCAACCCGTGAAGATCCGGGGTAGAATAGGTCTTCAGCAACCCATGCTTGTCGTAATAGGCGACTATGCTTGTCGTAATAGGCGACTATGCTTGTCGTAAGAGGCGGCTTACAGGATCGGGTGGTCAGGCTTGCTGTCTTGGTTGATTCATGTCCTCTCTATCCCAAATACGTGGATCGATCCTCATGATGTCAATCACTGGATTGCCTGGTCCAGACTCGATTATTTACATATAGCTATAATATTGCTGTGTGCGGCGTTAAACATCAAACAAACAAATGATACGACCACCTTCGTGGTCTAGGGTGATAACATTTGTCCGGAGAGTGGAAAGTCTGGTGTTCGATCCCCGGCACCGTCATACTAAAAGACATTAAAAGATGGTTCTTGTTGTTACCCTGTCTGGCGCTCGGTATTAAGGGACTAAGACAATGGTCGGCTCGAGTCAAGATACTGTGTCTGAGGTGGGCTAGCACTATAAAATCGGCATAAGTCCGGACTAGTACAAGCACTCGCGCGGGTGCCCGCACACACACACGCACACACACGCACACACACACACACTCACATGTGCATGCACGTCGCTGTATCCGTGCAATAATCTTGGACACGACGTTAATCTCATTTCACCTCACCTCACTTCACAATATTTGATACTACTAGAGTAAACATGCTGCGCTTCACTAAAGATACTCAGCCAATCTTCAACATGGTGACACATTTCGTTAATCTCAAAGCAAATCCAAATTTGAGATAAAAGGAACCGAAAAAAACTAAAATAGACCCTACCTTATATATGGATGGGCTGAAAAGGGAAACACAAATATTAGGGGGTACTTATCATAGTGGTCTACTAGATTCTAGTGGGTTCATCAGAGTCAGGATTTAACAGGCCAAAATTTACATGCACAAAAATAAATACATACTTGCACATACAGCATCCGTAATGCACGATCAATGGCTGAGTAACATGACCATGTTCACTATCAGAGGGTCAGGAGGACGTTCACACGAAACCATTGCTAGAATCAATGGCTGAGTAACATGACCATGTTCACTATCAGAGATACAGGAGGACGTTCACACGAAACCATTGCCGGTATCAATGACTGAGTAGCATGACCATGTTCACTATCAGACTTACAGGAGGACGTTCACACGAAACCATTGCCGGTATCAGTGGCTGAGTCACATGACCATGTTCACTATCAGAGATACAGGAGGACGTTCACACGAAACCATTGCCGGTATCAATGGCTGAGTCACATGACCATGTTCACTATCAGAGATACAGGAGGACGTTCACACGAAACCATTGCCGGTATCAATGGCTGAGTCACATGACCTAATTCACTATCAGACTTACAGGAGGACGTTCACACGAAACCATTGCCGGTATCAATGGCTGAGTAGCATGGCCGTGTTCACTATCAGAGTTACAGGAGGACGTTCACACGAAACCATTGCCGGTATCAATGGCTGAGTCACATGACCTAATTCACTATCAGAGTTACAGGAGGACGTTCACACGAAACCATTGCCGGTATCAATGGCTGAGTAGCATGGCCGTGTTCACTATCAGAGTTACAGGGGGACGTTCACACGAAACCATTGCTGGAATCAAGGGCTGAGTAACATGACCATGTTCACTATCAGAGTGACAGGAGGACGTTCACACGAAACCATTGCTGGAATCCATGCAGTATCCGCTGTATTGACATTGTCAGCTCAGAAGAAATGTCCAAACTGTATGGTCCATAAGGTACTGCCAAATTCTTTCTCATGAATAAAGCTCAGCCAAACTGTACTTTGTTCATTAAACACACAAGCATCATATTATCCATATAAATTTAGTCTAGTGTGTATTTAATAAGAATAAAGGTAACCGCGAGATGTTTAAGGAGTGTCGGATGCGATAAATTGGCTGTCCAGCAAGTTTAATACAAGACTCTCAAACTGGCATCAAATAAATATCCTTATTATGATGCCTTTGTGTCATACAGCCCCAGGTCGCCATCGTGTTACACAAAAGCCTCGAAGCATGACAATT